CCCCAAAATATAAATTATAGTCACAAGTAATGTGAAATAAGCACATTAGCCACCCTTTGGGCTCCATAGGAATAAAATAAATTAAGGATTTATATACAAAGAAATATATGTAGCAATGTTTGATGTTGAGTGTATGACGTCACAGACCCCAAAAAATAATCGTAAAAATATCATACTTTCATCCTGAATATCGAGAAAACACTTCATACAGTGATTATTGGACCTTTAAAGAGTATTCTTAGGAAATTTCAGCTGAATCCAAGTTTGAGCGATTTTCGTCGTAGTAGCACTTTAAGAACAAAAGAAGGTTTAAACAAAGGAAGATGAGAAATTCGGGATAAAATTGCATGCGCAGTGGAATCGATTCTTAAAATATGAAAAGGCTTATTTTTCCTAWCGYTCCCTAATTAATATGCAAACTATCRACCAATCAAATCAAAGTATAAAGTATCTGAATCAACTCTACTGACATCTGATGGCRTATTGAACTTATCAACCAATCAAAATTAACATTCRAATTCTGAACAGTCATAGGAAAAATCGAGGGGGGTCATTGCAGGCCCAACCCTTCCTCCGTTCCTCTCCCCAGTTCTCCCTCCCCTCCTTCCCCAGTCCCCAATCCTCTTCCCTTTGGGTTGCTACGCAGGCTAGAGCCAAGTGCAATGTAATCCTAACCATCGTGCTCTCCCAGCTATTCAAGTGCATCCGGAAYGAGATCTATGCAAGCTAAGCATTGACCCTTGCTTTTATCACATAGTCAAGTGATTCACGCTTCTTATAACTCTTTATTTCGCGAATAATTACTAATTCCCCTAACATTCATATGAAACCATTTGAAAGGGAGAAATCCACAACCAACCATCTTCAACCAAGTTCTGAAATAAGTTCTATTAGTGAAAAATATATTTTATTTGACCTCAGTTGACATGAGYATGTACCATCAGAATGCACTATCTATTCCTTTTTCATAGTTAGCCAGGGAATTAGAGCACACTTTATATTATAGATATGTTATAAATTAGAATAGAGTGAGYGCCATGTATCTGTGAAACATTTACTAACTTTTTAGCCCTTAGTTATCAACTATTTAGTTGTTGAAGTCACACAGGCATGAACCAAACAAACCGGAGGTACTTGCTTTAGTTCCATTGTTCTGCTCCAGTAATAAGCCTGAAGCGTGATGACATTTTACCCCCGACTCTATACCATAATAGTTTTTAAAATTCTTTCATATTAGAATTTTTGATTTCTTAGAGAATACAGGAACAATAGTCATAATTAAAGAACAAAAGCAGTGTCAAAACGATTATGGTCTAAAGACGGGGGCAAAATGTCATCATGCTTCAGGCTTATGTCCACTATTTCATACAAAATAGCTGCAATTAAAGCAATCCAATTAATACTGTAACTTTAACACTTTACCTTTCCTTCTTTAATGGTTTCAAGGACAGCCCTTTCTACACGATCTGCATGTTGGTTGAGATTCATATGTCTTAACATCATCACAGCACTCAACAGCAGTGCAGTTGGATTAGCWTTATCCTGGCCTGCTATGTCAGGGGCTGTACCATGTACCTGTGACACAACAAATGATTACTATCAAACATTAGTTAACAAGGAAACATCCATACCAGGGTAGATCAGTGATATGTAGTGTAATTTAATACAGTTGAATCTCCCTTAAGCGGAGACCCAAGGGAAACGGAAAAAGTGTCCGTTAGTAGAGATTGTCCTCCTAATAGAAAGGGGTCTTTAAACGAACAAAATTAATAATGTTAAATAGTGTCGTTTTCTGTTTAMGTAAGCATTTCTAAAGATTAATTATAGCGATTTAAGAAGAATAGCCTGGCTAAATGATTTACAGATTTATTCATTTTGTATTCATTTATATTTATTGTGTTTTGACTATAGTTAGGTATTAAAATACAGTATTCTATATTGGTCTAACACAAGTTCAGAAACTTAAACACAAAACTACAAGAATACAGTTACAGTATAACAGATTGTAGTTAATAGCGTTAGAAAAAAGTTACAACGACGTGCATTTACCAATATCGCACCATGTGAAGTAATATTTCAAACATGCGAAAGAGTTCTTCCTTTGATTTCCAAACACCGAAAAGTGAGTGAAAAAACAAGGTGCAGCCGAGTTTTTATAACTGACTTTGAGGTGTTTGGAAATCAAAGGAAGAAYTCTCTCAGGTGTTTCAAATTACTTCTAAAACTCATGAATATTTCTTGGAGAAAATCAAAGAAAACGTTTACGAAATTTAATGCAAATTAAGAACACATTTCCAAACCACCGTCATAGTAGTGATTTGCTTTGTTTTCWCCTCATTAAATATTCATGAGTTTTAGAATATAACTTCAATGGGAATGAATTCTCTATTGACTGGCTTAAAGCTAAACTTAAGAAAGATGGCTGTCCTGTATGATATATAATATACAGTATTTTGTACAGTAATCCATTTATATAGCTGAACATTTACACTGATTTATTATGAGCCGAAAATGAACACTAAAACTGTTAAGCCGTTTTAAGTAGCCAATGTTTCTATTTTGAGTCYGTTTATATGTTATAAGAACAAATAGGTTTAAAAATATAGACAGTTTTTTCTCTATTCCAAGTCTGTTTATTAGAATATTTGAAATAGTGTTTGCTTAAGGGAGCTTGAAAACAATAGAAATAGTCAATTGGGATTCGCTCTACAGGGTCCATGTACGCTTATSAGAAAGCCTGCTTAAGGGAAAGTGTGAATACAGTGTTTGTATGGGAGAAAAACAGGGTTTTGGAAAGCTGTCCGTAATTWGAGCTGTCTGATTAAGAGAGCGTCCGCAAGTGGAGATTCAACTGTATAATTATTGAAGCTTTAGAGTTTATTACCGATTCAAAAATGGCTACATTATCGGCTCCAATGTTGCCACTAGGGGTAACACCTAGACCTCCAACCAAGCCAGCACACAGATCACTATGGGATGAAATAATAATAACATCGGTTTTTTCTTAGTAGATGATACTGGTTTGCTATCCTAACCACTAATGAACTTGCTCTAAATGCAAACCTGAGAATATCTCCATAAAGGTTTGGCATCACCAAGACATCAAACTGACTGGGATCTTTTACCATCTACAATATACATATGGAGAATAGTAAATTAGAACAAACCTCATCATTATCTCACACTTAACAATGTTTTTGTTTTGATGCATAGACGAGAGGCTTAAGCTATATTTTTATGTAAGTTTGATACTCTTGTCATGATGATAACATCTCACAGGAAATTCAATATCTAATACTTACATTAAGACAAGTTGTATCCAAGTACATCTCATTGTACCGAATGTCCTTGTTACGTTCCGCAACCTCACGACAACACTGCAAGAATAATCCATCTGATCTGCGCCTGTTTTGTAACCGATAGCAACATCAGTTCTAAACAATGGTTTAGTTGAGGAATTTATTACTTTAACTACAGTTGCTGCTGCTATTCTTCTCCTCAATATTTAGCTGATAGATAGTTTCTCAGCCATCACTTTTCCTTATTAGTTTGTAAAGTAATTGCTAGATGCCTTTACAGTGAATTCATAAAAATATTCTCACATGATATTGGCCTTGTGTACAGCAGTTACAGAAGCTCGTTTGTTGGACTTGGCAAAACTAAAAGCAAACTCTGCAACTCTCATTGATGCCTTCCTGGTTATAAGTTTTATGCTTTGCACCACTCCTTCTACAACCTGAAATGAAAATAYAGAACAGTTGTCTATAACATAAGGGAATTGTATTATCCTCTTAATCTGTATTGTCATATCCCCTTAATCTCAGAAAAACTTCTAATCGGTTAAGCTTTTTATATTTTACCCATTACAATAAGATTATGTACTTACTACATGTTCAATTCCACTGTACTCTCCCTCTGTGTTCTCTCTTATCGTAACAAGATCGACGTCATTATATGCAGTAGGATATCCTTCTATTGAACGGCAGGGCCTTACATTGGCATACAGATTAAATGTTCTATAATGAAAGCAAAACAGCATGTCAAATCAACAACAATTATTCTGTACAAATACTGCACAAAGGTCACTACTCACTTCCTTAAGGTTAAATTTAAGGAAACATGTCCTTTTCCAATCTTGGTTTCCAGAGGACCTACGAAATACAGGGAAGATGTAGGAATGTTTGTAGTGTTGGTCATGATTTCGCAGTCTTATGTTGATCAAGTAAGGTCTACAGCAATATTGCAAGCTACCTTTAAGACCCACTTTATTCTTGTTCATAGAATTGATAGCTGCAGGAGGAACAGTTGTGCTACCATCAGGAAGAATGACTGGAGTGACACTGACTTCTTCCCATCTCACTGGAGCCTATGTTTACAAACACATCAAAATTTATATTTATTATACAGTATACATCCTAATGGTTCGATGGATACATTGAATGAATATGAGTCTATTATGCCTGTCTGCAAATGTGAGGTCTCAAGCTTGTTACCCTCTACAGCTTTTGATACATGCTGCATATAATTGCTACCTGCATGTACACAGCAATTCTATCATATTGTTGCTTCATTGGTGAGAGAGGAAGTCAAAGCATATATCATTCTTTTCAACACTGCTACAATATTAAATGTTGCAGAAAAATCAAATGTTTGAACTTTCACTGCCTCTTTTTGAAAACAGCATCAATGGCTTCATCAATTGGCATTAAAGACAATGCAGTTCTTTGCTGCATCCTAAAATTGCATTGGCATCTTAGACAAATGCTAATACTAAGGACAAAGGAGGAAATAAGAATGGCCATTAGTTAAGTTTTTAAAATCATAACAAAAACTTATAGAATTTCAATKGGTCATAATCTTCAAACAAAAAACCTAAATGTTTTACGTTAATTGTTGTTTAAAATGTGTTATAGACTCAAAGAACCGAATACCAACCTCTGCTGCTTCAAACACTTTTTTAACAGCCTCTGATATTTCAGGTCCAATGCCATCACCAGRTATCAAAGTGACGGTCCTCACCTATGACACACACACATACATAAGACTTGTGTTTATGTATATATAAGCTGATATATTTTACATTAGGCTAACATTTACTAGTAAACTGTTGGTGTGGCTTTAAATAAGGACATTGGAATTGAAGGAATAAACTCTGTCTTAATTTAATTACTTAATTACCTCTGATGAAAAGAGCCTTTGTCCTGAAGGTCTTTGAATATTTTTAGTCATCTGGAAATTAAAATTTTAATATGAAATGTCCGAACCGTATCTCTTTATCAAACATCGCGGATTCGACAAATCCTTTATTGAAAAGTGAAGATTATTTTCACAGATATTCTCTATATTACATACCAAAGATTTTACTAAATTTTGTTTGGGATTACGAGTAGAAAGAATACCAAGATATCTGACAACACTCTGCCTCATGCTCACCGCCGCCATCTTGAATTGACGCAAAGAGAACTAGAAACCAATCAAATGACGTATGACACAGGAAACCCATCCATCCGATTTACCAGCCCCTCGATTTCCAATCCACCCTTCCATGTGATCAATTTAGAAAAAGATCTGTAGTTCGCGCTAAAAAGCTTCTTTCCGAGTAAATGTTTGATCGCCCACTTGTGGCACGTTGCTCGTTAACAAGTGATGAACAGCTTTGTGAGGCAGATATATGATGGCAGGAAGGTGTGTGAGGGGGGTGGGGTTGGGGAGGGGGGATTGGAAGGGGTAGAAGAAAACGAGGTTCTTTACGATAAATGATTAAAGACAGTACGTTTAATACAAATGTATAAAATTGACATTAAAATGTTGCCAAATGGCTTTTTACGATTCCCGCATAGACCAGTTATTCCTCTATGATCAATGGTATATAATGCTTAAGGTTCAACCAAATATCTTGCCTATTCATTTCTTTTAACAGTTTATAATGTTCCACAGCGTTGCGCGGGACACTAAAAACAAAGCCCTCGGGACATGCAGGTTCATAATAAGGTCCTTTTGTGGAACTGATAACCCATTTGGTTTCTATACTGTCATTGGTCGTTGAAACACACGCATAAGGGTTTTTAGTAGCACATTGTTGAAGATGCCATCTGCCATCCTCTGCACAAAGAACTACACAGGACTGTTGACTTAGTTTTTCCCTTGGTTCGTTTCTTGCCCATGTAAATACTGCTGTGTTGAGTAGATCAGGGTTTATTTGATCTGCTGCCGGATACATAACACCACATTTTAAATATTCCATGTAATTGAGTATTGTACCAGTTTTCTTTGGCCCATTCCAAAAGGGACCATATTCGGTGCTATCGCTATAAACACGTAGTGGTTCGGCACTGGATGTAACGGCTTCTGTGCAGTTTTTGTACGCCAGAAAACGGTTAGTTGTTATCTCTTTCCAGTAGCCTCGGTGAATGTACTCGCCTTCGTGGTTATAAGAATTTCCTGACGAGATTAAGACAATCTTACCCAATTTTTGCATCTCGTAAAGTGTAGGCCATTTTCCATTAAAATAAGTCTGGATATCGTCTGGTGTTAGGACTTTCTCGCCAAAGTGTTCTTTGATAGGCCCATTAAGTAAAGCATCGTGTCCTTGTGTGTGGGCAGGGCCATCTTCCAAATACAATCTGATAACTTCGTTCTTGTTTTCTGATCGCTTCGACCACTCAGCGATTTCTTTTATTCCGTCTTTAAATTCCCTGTCCCACGGACCACACCCGAGGTAGGCATGATTAAGGGCGTGACTCATCCTTACTTTACCAAAACACCACCAAGGGTCAATTTCTATTGCTCTTATCCCCATTTGAAGTAGGTCAGTAAAACTGAATTCCTGATTGGCGAGAACAATGCACTCACTTTTGTAAGGTGGAGGCCAATGACAATCGTCTAGTTCCCCATACCCATCGGCTCTGTTATTGAATGCATTGTGTGCAGCTAACATTTGAACTCTGTCTAAGGACATGTTTACTTGAAGTTTCCTCTGTGTTTTCAGGGCCAGTGCAAGCCAAGGCGAGATACGTGCAGTCCCTTTGTGACATATCCCTCTATAGCCACATGACGAACAGTTCGCAGCTCGACTCAGTCGATCACAAGGCGCCTCATTTTGATTCTCAACCACACCAGAACGTTTTTGTTTCATTACTTCAACCCTGACTCTATATTTTCCACCTACATTGGTTGGTACAGTGAAAATGGCAATATCCGCTTTATGATGTTCTCCGGTTTTATCATCTTGTAACAAAAGTCTGTATTTGAATGCTCGATTGTCCTGTACATTCCTGAGAGACAAAATATGGCGAAGAGTAAACTTGTTTTCTTCTTTKGCACCTTTGTAGTTCTGAGCAGCAAATTCAGCTGCTTTACAAAGCACATAAAGTTGTCTTGGAGAATGCAAGTAACTGTCAAGTGGACTTTTATTTGGGAGATGCTTAAAGTACAGAAAATATTCCTGTTCTTCTTTAGGATCAACAGAAATCACTGTAGTGACGTTTAAATGTCGACTAGATAAAACGACAGATATCGGCGGAAGGAAACAGAATAAAGCCAAGAGAATCAGTCCTGACATGGTTAATAATGCCGACGTACGACGGTTGCCTTTCAGTAATATTGTTTGAAAGTTTACTCATATTGCTGTTGTATACAGCATTCTAGAATACCACATAAACCAAAAACCACGAAAATATTGTTATTAAACTGAGAATTGTTATAGGATAGTGAGTGCTTGTGGCGTCATAAACGAGTTACCTGCAAGGCACCTGCAGTGGGCAGCGCGGTCTGGCTATTTAACAACTGGCATATCAAGCGCTGTTTATACTTCTTTTTACCATCGCATAACTTGCTCAGTAGTGATGGACTAACAAGAAATTAATATTAGTGTGTCATTGATAATCCTAAGTCTTAGTTGAAACCAGTTATTTTAGTACTGATCTCCTGCGACGGCAGGTACCGGTAAACCAATTTTTCTTTGGCGATTTTCAATAAAGTTTCGATTGCATCATTTGTATTAGTAAAGAATAAATTTTTGTTATTTCTAAGGATATTTATCGATATTTAAGATAGCGCGCGTTTGCCTCCGGCATCGGCCCTGACGCAAAATAAAACGACTTAATAAAAAGGCTAAAGAGCGTGCCATGATGAATTAGACTAATATCTTGTCTGTGAGCATAGTGCATGCCGCAAAGTATGTTTTACGCGTCACACGTGCGCGTGTTTTAATGGACGTTCGACTGAAGTAATCAGTTCTACACAGGAAACCAATGTCGTTCAGCATATTACATCTTAAGACATTTCTCTTCGCGTTTTTGCCCCCCCACCCCCACCCCCATCGTCGGGCACGATATATTAAAGATATGGTGGTACTGCAGCTAGGCACTACTGTTGGGGCTGTCAATTATGTCATTATAGAATGCAATCGGTTGGTTTAAGTCATTATGAATAGGCACTGCAGTCAATACAACTTATACTGCACAATGCAACTGATACTGCACAATGCAACTGATGCTGCGCGTGTGTGCACTAAAAACAAACCGCCTCCCATGAACATTATTACTTTAAGAGGAAAATTAATGTTACTTTGGTAAAAAACTTTGTCCGGTTTGTAGGTAAGTAAGCTAATAAGGAAAAAACAAAGTCCTTCGGGGACGAATAGGGCCTCTTTCTCTAGTATGTCTAGCTGACAAAATATTAGTTTATATTACCAGAAATTTCGTAGCGCAATGCATTAGTGAAAAGTTGCTTGTGGAGTCTGAGAAATAGTTTGCTCTATATCGAGGATATGTTGCGTGCGCACAGGAAGCCGAGCCTTATGCAAATTCACCTTCAGGTCTCTTCATCAGCCGGTGTATACTGGACAAGAACACCAATATAATCACTCAAATTATACCAAATAAGTGGTCAGTTGCTTGCTTGTTTTAGCTGTAGTAAATCGACAGAGATTCATTGCTTCCCGCTTCAAACTATCCACAATATCGATATCTGATTATAATTATCATGGAGCACGATAACACGGAAGGTTTGCCCGCCAAGGAAAGTGAGGAACCAGACAAAAGTGAGATGAATTTACAGAGCATAAATATGAAAAATATTAAACATATGATCTTAAAGAATCCTATAGCTGTTGGTAAGTCTTTAGATKTAAACCCTGATACTTTACTGTGCTTCTAGTATAATGCATTCAGTATTTATACTAGTTTTAATAGTCCTACCTACCAGTCCTGGTCCAGGCACTGCCCGTCTAAGACCAGTTACAGTAGTAAGACTTTTATTTGAGATGCTTTATTTGCTCTATTTTTTCCCCTGTGCTATAGAACCTTTTTGCTCTTCTTATGACTGGATGCATCATTTAAACACGTTTGCAATGCTTGGGAATAAAAAACCGAAGTGAGGGTTGCTAAGCACTCGATGTTTTAGACAAGAACGCACTAATATAAGAAACAGGCAACCCAACCATGCACTGGTCCTGGCACGTGCATACTTCATGGACTCTGACCCTTTGAGTTTTTCTCAATATTTAGGACAAATATAGAGTAGAGATATTGATACTACAAAAAAGAAATTTGCTACTGCTTAAATGTTGTAAAATTTTCAAGAATGTCACTTTAATTATTTTAAATAAAGAAAAAAGAAATTGTTACAACACGATTATATTGGGAAATCTTTGGAAATGATCTCGTGTCACATGACCTTGAAGTGCTTCGCCCTGTGACGTAACCATCAATTCATTGCAAAATGGCTGCCGTTCAGAACGCAATTATTTCAGGCAAAGAAAGTCTTGAAAAATGGCTTGAAAAGAAAAATTTTTTCACCGATTTCCTTGGAAAAGTTGAAGAGAAAACTAAAGTGAAGAAGTTGCATTCGTTTTTGGGTAGTTATATGTTATATTTGATGTGCACTCGATGGTTTATYAGTCGGCCATGCAAGGCTGTCCTTTGTACCCGCCAATCCTACAGTATACAGTTAAACTAAACCTGTAATTGCTTTCTTGTAGCTCTGGTAGCAGTGTTCAGTTTGTACTTGATATTTGGTTATGGAGCAGATATGATTGTGACGGCTATTGGTTTTGCTTATCCAGCTTATCAGTCGTAAGTATGGTGAACCAAACGACAACTTTTGACAGACTATAATGGCGTGGTTTGGAAATAATTTGAAAAATAATATATTCCGTTTGCTTATCTACTTAAAAATACACCACAACGAACTGTATAATCTAACATTCAAAGTTTTTGTAATTGTCATATAATTTATTTCATTTCTATACAAATTATATAATTTTTTTAGAGTGAAGGCGGTCGAAAGCCCCCAGAAAGAAGACGACACACAATGGCTGATCTACTGGGTGGTTTTTGCAAGTTTTAACATTGTGGAGTTCTTTTCCGACATTCTCCTTTCATGGTTTCCTCTGTACTTTCTCACTAAGGTAATCTGCCATTCTTCTTATATGTTCACATACGTGGCCTTCACTGAAGAAAATCAGTGAGTAAACAAATTCAAAAACCCTAACATCATTGAATTCACTTCTACATGTACCAGTTTCATCGCCTTACCGCTTAAAATCTTGTTTTAACAACATTGAATTCATATTCACATATATATCCTGGGGTGGGAAAAAATTTTTTTTTTTTGTTTTGTTATTATAGCAGCAGAATTTAGTTCTATATTTGTCTTGGTTATCAAATATTTATAGTGAGGCTTCACAAAAGCAAAACTTCGACTAGATTCTCTTCATTGCCATTATTATCAGATTGATAGTATCATACACATCTCTTCTAGAAATTGGATGGAGCAATAAAATTAATTTCCAGATCAGTAATACTGTATGTAGTCTTCTAATAAGCTCACAACCAGTCTACAAAAGTGTCACTTGTATAATAGGGGAGCAACTTTATGGAAGCAATACTAATGTCTACGTTTATTGCAGTTGATATTTCTTGGTTGGTGTATGGCCCCAGTAACATGGAATGGAGCAGACACTCTGTACAATAAGGTTATCAAGCCTTTTGTGCTTAAACACCAAACAAAAATAGACRAGACGTTGGAGAAAGTGGGAGAACAGTTTGACAAATACTCCAAGGAAGGTAAACAAAGAACTTTGCTATCTGATCATTTTATAAACAAGTAAATAAATAAAAGTATATTTTTATTGCCTTGACAGCCAAAGATGTCGTTACAGAAGCTGCCATCAGGTCTGCCACTGAAAACAAGAAAGATGAGTGATGTGCTTATTAAACCGACATTTACAACATTTGCCATGGAATGGCTGTTCCTGAGACTCTTCTTTGTCAATAAAAACCATAGCTTTTCTTGAGAGGTGATGATTTCATTTATGAGAGATAGTGCAATATCCTTGTTGTGATTCTATTTCTAAGAAACAACATTTTTAGGATGACTGGGTTTAAAGTAACGGCCAGACATAATTGGACAATGTCTGGCCAGAATTGGAACTTGTCAGGTCAAATCTTTGTCTTGTCAGTCATTTTGACCAGTACTGTTTAGACAGAAAGCAGGCGTGACCRAGCTAAAACTATTTTGCTCTGTGATCATGACCTGCAACTGATTGGCCGTTATTTTAAGCCCTGGATAAACAATACATATACATTTACAAATACTACCATAAAACTTTGTAATAATAACTTCATAAGCATTTTAATGAACTAGGGCTTTGATATTGGATAGGAAGCTAATGCACTTTCACACGTTTTCCCTATTCATGTAACAGGATGGACAATCACACTTGATACTAGTTGATATTTCTATGAATATTGTATCTTTCATATATCTGATGAGTTGTAGTTTGGGAGCCATGGAAATGTAAACCTATTTTCTTGTTTCAACTCATTCAAAAGTGGCTATTTATAACACTTCTTCTAGTTAAACAATAATTGCAAATAAAAATGAATTCTGTAATTTACCATGCGTTGCATACTGAAAATAGTTTGTAAAGTTAAGCTTGTGATTTTGAACTTGAATAAAATATCTTTCATGTCTTTAATAGAATCCTTCAGTGTTGTAATAGTGAATGGCTTTCTGCAATAAAGTATTCATTTTGCCTTTTGAAAGCAATAGAGTGCTCACACTAAATCCGTGAAACAAATACTAATTTTTAGCACTAAATAGTGATAATTAAACAATAGAAAACAAAGAATTCTGTATGAAATTTAATGTTCACGGTTTTAGTGCGTGCACTCCATACAAATAGTTTGTAAAACCTGCATTGTTAGTGTTACTAAATTGTTGTGATCTGCACTGACATGTTTTACAATCATTCTAGAGTAAATGTTTTTCAAACACATCTTACAATCCGAATAATTGTATCAGCTTGGAGGGCACACAATTATTATAATATTAATCTGTGAAAGTACAACAGTTTGCGTAGGTAATAGAGTAGAAAAAAATCAAATTGCACTCTCCATCACATTTTTCATATCAAGATGTCAATTTTATACAGTAACCGATATGTAATACCTGGCTAATTTTGTTGACGCCTAGCCCACATGGATGACGTTGGTTTAACTCAAACTATGAGAAAGCATACTCAAAATAAGAAGACAATCTCAATGTCTATGACTTGTGTGACTTCCCTTTTTTCTCCAGTCATTGGACTTCCAATCTCTAATAATGGAAGGCCAGCGTTGAAGTGGTATATAAAAATTACCACAGCTGACAAATTTTATTTCCTAATAGAACTGAAATTGAGATGATTCAATATTTTTCAAATTTCTAAGCATTATGAGGCCCCCTTCCCCCTTCCCCCTTCCCCCTCTATTATCAAAAGGTTTGGCTGTCTTGTCGCAGCATACAATCACAACATTGCCAKGCTCCAACTAGGTGAAAGCCTAAGGATCGTATTTAGAATTTAGAAGTTGACTTTTGAGCAAGAGAAAAACCCTCAGAAAATGGGAGCAACACTTACTAAAACAACACAGTGAGACCACAGGCAACCCAAGCCAAGAGAATGGGATTTAGAATACAAGGTATTCTAAGTTATGGAATTTTTTCTTAAATACCCTTCAAAACTCGCTGAGACTGCATGCAGGAGTTCAAAATAAACAAATGACACAACAGGTAAGTCAACGAACTTTTATTCATGTTTTTCCAAATAAAAAACGGCATATTCTAAATCCCCATACATTCTCTTATTAATGTAGTGTCCTTGGGTTGCCTGTGGTGAGATGTGGTGCAACAGCGCAACGGCTCATGCTGGGAATGTGGAATTCCAACGCGAAAGAGAGGCTTTGTTATCTAACTATGTTTCCTTTCATCCACTATTGTATCAATGGATAAATACTGTAAATAAAGGTTAAATACCACAGGGAGCCCGGCTTTAGAATTTGTACATGAATAAAAAAAATCAATAAGTGCTTTATTGGGTTTCCTGTGTACGTTACGTTAATCTGCTATCAAGTTACTGGTTAGTACGATTACCGGAAATTCAACGTATCAGTAGCCTCCTTTGCAGCCGAATCGTTGCGTGACGACCCTAAGAACGGCTGCAAAGGAGGCTAACGTATCAGCGTCTTGTTTCAAATCTCAAATGACACAGGAAACCCAATAAAGCACTTACTGATTTTTTTTATTCATTAACAAATTCTAAACACAGGAAACCTAATAAAGCACTTATTGATTTTTTTTATTCATGTACAAATTCTAAAGCCGGGCTCCCTGTGTAAATACTGGTGAATACTTCCCGCCATCTGCTTATATTACGTGTTAATATTGAGGATTGTGATTGGCTGAGTAGTCTCACTCCCACGAAACGCCTGCATGCCATTAATAATCGTTACGTACGTAGTTTTTGCTATCAACACAAAACGTGAATCATTAATGGCAAATTTCGCTTTAAAAATACCTTCAAACTAAGATAACATCGCTTTCGATTTCTTACMGGTAGTAAAAAGTAATTCTTTGTGAAGAAAATTCGAGTGTTTGTTGACCAACTACATCCTCAAGCATCGAATTTCATTCAGTTCTCGTATCCAAGTGATCAAAGTTCAGCTCGAGTTAACACGTAACTACGTATTATTATCGCTCAGTCTTGTCGAGGCAGAGCCAGGAAAATTGCCGCTCAAATTTCAGAAAATCATTCCCAATTTAATCGTTACTTAATCCAAGTTGTACTCCATGGCACAGCTAGTGTCGGTAAAGAAGATTGAAAGTAATGGTGGCCTTCATGACAAAGTTAGTTTGAACAACATCAACATGTCAGAAGGAAACCCGAAAAACCCTGTGGAAAATAGCGCAATTCAACACAAAGAACAAAATGGAATTGTTACTCATCCTCAGACAGAACCTCAAACTAATGGAAATGGAATCAAAAATGATTGCAGTCGCCATGAGAATAACGATGGACCAAAAACTATCCAACATGGCGCCAGTGATGATGAATCGATACCAATCCAGTTGGAACCGGCTGAATCATTTTGGACAACAAAGGCCGACTCGGCTATCAAGATAAGAATAGGAGATGATGAAAATACTAAACTAGCTCCAACCACTGTTATACAATTGCTGGAAAACACTGTTAAAGTGGCCGCTAACAGAATCGCACTTGGGGTAAAGAGAGATGGAAAATGGCGAATTTGGACTTACTCTGAATATTATGAGGAAGTTAGGTCTGCAGCCAAGTCCTTTATCGAGGTAATTTTAATTGAAAAGTAAAAATTAATAATAACCAAAACTGTTTGAATTTTTATTAGCTTCCCTTATAAAAATAATATCTTTATAAGTTCGTACACCATTAACTGTATATACGTTAGTGGTTAAGGGATTAATAGATATCTGTTAATTTTACTCCACACAGAATACAGATACTTTTAACGTTCAAGTTTAATAACTTATTAAGTCATATAAGGCTTACCAGCTTAAAAACTTATAAATACACAAAAAATACTGTTAATTACTTTTAATTTTGTAATTCAGATAAAATTTCCTTTCATCTACAACATTCCACGTGTTCTTTGTGTGATGAATTGTTTATTTGAATATTTATTTTCTACACCTACGTATACGTATTTGAATACGTAGTAGTTTGATTGATTGTTTTAGCTTCTCGTGACCAATAAAAGACATGTTTGCCATTTCCATGAATCGGTTGAATCGGCTTAAAGAATCGAATTGGGATTTTTGGTGGTACTTCAAGACAATATTAATAATAGCGCACGCTATTGCCTGAAAGCTATTGTATATATGTATCTATTGTTAGCCCATTCATGACCTAAGCATGTATTATCATCAAAATACCACACGAGTTTTCTTTCGTTTCGATCAACAGTGATATTGTTGTTATGAGTTGCATAATTGACTGCTTGTCTCTAAGATTTCTCAATACTGTCATATTAACTCATTTACTTATTGCATTCTTATATATTAATCATCTGCTTAAATACCATATATGCATATCTAGGGTTTGGGTGATGGTTATTTATAAACAAGGAAATGTTTTGTACTATTGCATTTGGTAAAGCAAGCCTGAACCTGCAGACTCATCGCTGGGGCCAAGTTGAAATATTTTGATCTTTGCCCAGGAGGTTTTGGTCCAGAGACTGAAACCCAAGGAAGGATGTACAGTATTAGAGTCCCACATATGTATGAACGTATATGTTGTATTTGGAGAAAATATTGATTTCACAGATTTTACACTGTGAAGGACCGCTTGCCTTATTGTGACTGGCTTCAATAAACTCAGGCTCAATGAGCCTTGATTGGTTCGATGATCGAAACAATAACAAATGATTGATAAGTCTAGATAATATTTAAAGCAGCATTAAAGCACACATTCGTCATCTATTTCGCTGTTCAGTATTCTTGGTCTATTGGCTTCTATTCAGAAATTTTTCTTGGGATTAGACCACATTTTTACAGGTTTAAAAAGATAGAACAAATCCACTGTTTTCCCAATTCAATTCATGTGTCAATCCCTAGAGTATCATTTCCTTGTTTACGATTGCACATGAGAAAACACATGAATAAGGATACTCAAACAAAGAATCTTATTCTCAACTGAATGAAACATTGTCTTAAATGGGCAAAACATTACGTTTGATAGAAAAATGGGCTTCAAAGCAGATCATCAAGCAGAAACGTTAAAGATAAGTTCACTAATGCAAACTTGAACTATTGCCACAATTACCTGGACTACATAAACTAAGCTGATCCATTCAAGATTTTTGACAATTGCTGGTTTTCATTCATTGTCAATGATTCTTTTGTTATATCCTCCAACATGGCCGCCATGTCTTTTGTTATTTAATTCTCTTGGGAATGGTTGAAAACCATCAATAACAGTATTTCTTTTTACTACTGCAACAAGCGCTACAGCCACTTACAGTAGTTTCAGCGGAAGTTACAGTGGAACAGTGAAAGTTCTCAAAGTGTTTCTAGAGCGAGTTACTAAATGAATTAATTCAAATGTTATCAATCATAGTCATAAATTGCTAATACACAATCAATAATAGCATTATCTAGCCATTATTTGGTTATCTAGTGAGTTTCATGACTTTTCTTGTACTACCTCCGTTAAGTGGCCAACCTCTATAAGCGGATACTTGGCTCAGTCCCGAAGGTGGCCACTTAATAGAGGTACCACTGTATTACAAGTTAAGAGCCTGATATATTTTTTATTCACTCGCTTTCCATTTATTATGGTATCRCTCACTCACTCGCGGACTTGCTCGTTTGTGATATGTCATTTGGAAACTTGTGAATAAAGACAATATTAGGCTCTTATGTGATAATTTCTATTGGTCCTTTGTTAGACAAGAGATAACTAATACTTGTAATTTTTTTAATTGTAAGGCAATCTTTTGTAATTATTGTAAAGTGCTTTTGGGCATTTTTGCTGTTGTTGGAAATAGCGCTTTAAAAGTAAATGAATATTATTATGTTAGTCAAAATGTTTTAACAATTTTTTTTTTCTTTTTGTCTTCAGCTTGGTTTGGAACCCTCTCATGGAGTTGGAATCATTGGGTTTAATGCACCTGAGTGGCTGATATCAGATCTAGGTGCTATATGTGCAGGGTATGTTGCTATCTACCATAAGTAGAATCCCTGTTGTTGTATCCACAGCTACTAAGGGACTATATATTTACTGGAGCATTGCCAGCTGAAAGAAATGTGTTACTGCTTATATGCATTTACAACATGCCAGTGATTTATTTGTTGTTTTTTTTTAGTCTCTTTACATCAAACTTGAATGCTGTTTTCCCTTTGTTGCTGATGATAAATGGTTATCACAGTTCAAAAAGTGGTATTTTGTATTAAAATGGTTTTATTGCTTTTTCCAGTGGTCTTGCGGTAGGCATCTACACAACCAATTCTCCTGAGGCTTGTCACTTTGTTGCAAGTGACTCCAAGTGTAATATTATTGTTGTTGAAAACAAAATCCAGCTTGATAAGATACTGAAGGTAAGTCATATACTGACTATTTCATTATGCTGGCCTTATATTTGTTATAAGCTAATTGTGGTTTTATTTATTGAAGGTATGGGACAAACTTCCACACTTGAAAGCTATCGTACAATATACTGGTACAATCGAAGAAAAAAGGCCCAATGTATATGATGTAAGTTTGCATCTTGTTAATCATCTTGTTTGATTTTTAGTATCATTGTAGCAGGCACTCATTTTGAAGATATTCCATATAGGCATGCACTTTTAGTATAAATGCAATTAGTATATGTAATAGGACTCCATGCTGTCCAATTAAGAAATAAATGAACGAGGAAATTTCTGTGGACTGACAAAATAGAATGAGGCCGTAGGAAGAGTCCAATTTGGCAGTCAGAGGAATTTTTCGAGTCTTAATTATTTCTTGATTGGGGAGCATGAAATCCCATTACTTATTAATTATATAGCTGCCTAATTAATCCCATATCAATAAGACCTGTCCAATTAAGAAAATAATTGGACAGTTACCTATATGGRATTAATGAGAAGCTGTATAATTATGTAAAATCATTAAAACAATCCTTGCCATAGAAGTTTATATAGAAAGAATCCAAACTCTAATACTGTACATGCTGGTATATATTCAGCTTTTTGTTTAGATTTCTTATATCAGTGATAGTTGTCATTCATTTAACTCTTCTTGGTTTTGTTGTTTTATAGTGGAATGAATTCTTACAAGCAGGAAAGAATATCAGTGAGGCTACATTACAAGATACAATCAATGGACTCAAACCTAACAAATGTTGCACCCTTATTTACACTGTAAGAAAATATGTCTGTATACCTTYATCCATGAAAATATATACCAATAAATGTTATTTAAGCAATAGAAAACTTTTTCCGTGTTTACATAGCCTGATAGCAACACGAGGGGAGGTTGGGAGAATTCGAGACAGTTATGCAAACACAAGACGTACAGGCTATGTAAACACAGAGAAAAAGTTTTCTATTGCTTTTA